ACCTGCAGCTGGGTCAGGTGCTCAGAGCCCCATCCAGCCTGACCTTGGGTGTCTCCAGGGATGGGACGTTATCTTCTTTATTAGACGAGGTTTCTTCATCACCTTCATGATTTCCTCTTCTCCAGGCCAATCAAACCCAACGAGATCCTTCCCCCGGAGAAGGGAAGGGAGGTGGCCAAAGAACTGGGGATCCCCTATTACGAGACGAGCGTGGTGGCTCAGTTTGGCATCAAGGACGTCTTCGACAACGCCATCCGTGCCGCCCTCATCTCCCGCCGTCACCTGCAGTTCTGGAAGTCCCATCTACGCAACGTGCAGCGGCCCCTCCTCCAAGCCCCCTTCCTGCCCCCCAGGCCCCCTCCGCCCATCATCGTGGTGCCGGATCCCCCGTCCAACAACGAGGAGCACCCGGCCCACCTCTTGGAGGACCCCCTGTGCGCGGACGTCATCCTGGTGCTGCAAGAGAAGATCAAAATCTACGCTCACAAGATCTACCTCTCCACCTCCTCCTCCAAGTTTTACGACCTGTTCCTCATGGACCTGAGCGAGGAGGACCAGCAGAGCAGTGCAGGGCATGGTTTTGGGGTTGCCGTCACCGCAGCGGCCGAGAGGATGCTGCACCAAGAGGAGAGGCATCACGGACGGGATTTCCTCCTCCGAGCTGCGAGCTTTGATATCTGTGAAAGCACCGAGGAGGGCGGCTCCGGCCAGCGAAAACCGTGCCTTAGAGCCTCCACCAGTGATGGGATCCTACGGGGGAACCGCTACGAGAACGGGGAACGCGGGCTGCGACGGGGACGGGACCTCTCCTCTTGGAGCCGGGCCTTCATCAGCATCCAGGAGGAGATGGCCGAAGACCCGTTGACCTACAAATCCAAGCTGATGGTGGTGGTGAAGATGGATGCTTCCATCCAACCGGGCCCTTTCCGGGCCGTGCTGAAGTATTTGTACACCGGGGAGCTGGATGAGAAGGAGCGGGACCTCATGCACATCGCTCACATCGCGGAGCTGCTGGAGGTGTTCGACCTCCGCATGATGGTGGCCAACATCCTCAACAACGAGGCGTTCATGAACCAGGAGATCACCAAAGCCTTCCACGTCCGGAGGACGAACCGGGTGAAGGAATGCCTGGCCAAGGGGACTTTCTCGGGTACGACCCCGTCCCCTTCTCTCTTGCCCGTACCAACGCTCTGAGACGCCGTGTGCTCTGCCTTCCTTGGGATTTTGGTGGTGCTCACTTACAGCGTTGTGTTTCTGGGTTTTTCACCTCCAAGCTCCATCCCAGGCCATGCAACACCACGTTCTCCCTCTAGTTGAGTTGGTTCACGTGGACAGACCAAGGGGGGCTGCGGGAGCCCTGGAACAGCCCAGAGTAGAGCAGAACAGGGGTTGCTCGTCCTTGTGAGGAGCAGGGAGGAGGATGGGGACATGCTCTGCAGTGTGTGGGTGAGGCTTTTCTCCCCGAGTTTTGCCCTTTGCTTTCCAACACTGTTCACCTTGGGAATGCCCTCGGGCAGGGCTGTGCACGGTGCCGTGGGTGACGTAGCCCTTCCCTGAGGATGCTGGAAAACAAACACATCCGTAGGGCAGAGTACAGGGCCGTGCGTTTGTCCTTCTGTCTCCTTGCCTTTGGTGGTGTCCTGTGGTGGGGATGGCTGAGCCCTGTGTGACAGGGCCGTCCCTCTGCTCACTTGCAGATGTCACCTTCGTGCTGGATGACGGTGCTATCAGTGCCCACAAGCCCCTGCTCATCTCCAGCTGCGACTGGATGGCCGCGATGTTCGGCGGTCCCTTCGTGGAGAGCTCCACTAATGAGGTGAGGATGCACTCAGAGAGGGTGTGGGACAGCCATGGGGTGACCGTTGGAATCATAGAAGCATTTAGGTTGGAAAAGACCTCTGTGATCATCAAGTCCAACTATCAATGCATCCCCACCGTGCCCATAGAATCATAGGGTCATAAAGCTTGGAAAAAGCCTCCAAGATCAAGTCCAGCTGTTGACCCATCACCACCATGGGTGTGATTCTTGCAGGTGGCACTTCCTTACACCAGCAAGAGCTGCATGCGGGCCGTGCTGGAGTATCTTTACACGGGGCAGTTCAGCTCCAGCCCTGACCTCGATGACATGAAGCTCATCATCTTGGCCAACCGCCTCTGCCTGCCCCACTTGGTGGCTCTTACCGGTGAGTTGGTGCCCCCAAAACTTGGTGGCAGCTCTCTGATCACCCCATCCCAACTGCCCCCCCTAAGCCCCTGTGTCACCCACAGAGCAGTACACCGTCACCGGGCTGATGGAAGCTGCGCAGATGATGGTGGACATCGATGGGGACGTGCTGGTGTTCCTGGAGCTGGCACAGGTAGGTGGGATGGGATGAACGAGGTGGGGGTGACACCGCCGCTGCGGAGAGGACGGCAGGATCGGGTCCTTGATGCCCGCGGGGATTGGGGATCTTGGGATGGATGAGGTCCCCACGGTGGCTCTGACGCGTGCTCCATCTCCCGCAGTTCCACTGCGCCTACCAGCTCGCCGACTGGTGCCTCCACCACATCTGCACCAACTACAACAACGTCTGCCGCAAGTTTCCCCGCGACATGAAGGCCATGTCGGGAGGTGAGCGCGGTCGGTGTGGGGCGGTGGGGACTCTGGGGACACCCGGCGCTGTGCTGACCCCCGATGTCCCCGCAGAGAACCAGGAGTACTTCGAGAAGCACCGCTGGCCGCCGGTGTGGTACCTGAAGGAGGAGGACCACTACCAGCGGGCCAAGAAGGAGCGGGAGAAGGAAGACTACCTCCACCTCAAACGGCAGCCCAAGAGGCGGTGGCTCTTCTGGAACTCCCCTTCCTCCTCTCCTTCATCGTCGGCGGCCACAGCCTCCTCCTCTTCCTCCTCCTCCTCCTCCTCGGCTGTGGTTTGATCCTTGCTGCGGCTCCAGGAGATGAGGAGGAGGAAGGCCGCCCGGCGCCCGTTGGGTGCCACCAATGGGTGCCCCCAGGAGATGGAGGGAGTGCATCCCCACAGCGAGGGCTCTGCTGTCCACGTGCCAGCGCCGGGACTGGCACAAAGCAGCAGGAGAAGAGGTGACAGGAGCGCGAGGGCTGTCTGGTTTTGTTTTCATTCATTCTTTCTTTCGAACATCAACCGCATGAGGAAGAAGAAGAGAAGCGTCCTGCTTCCACCTTTCAGTTGTAACCAGGAGCTGCAGGGTAGGGTTGGGTTTTGTGGGATGCCATCCTGCTGCCCCTTGGACTTGCAGTAGGGTGAGAAGGGAGCCCGGTCCCCAGAGGACCAAGCAGAGGATCCTACTTGGCTGCAGGAGCCACGCACCGCAGCTCCATCCGCTTCCATGGAGGGCCGTCCCAGTTTGGGCAACTGCTGGGAAAAGGAGCCCCTCTCCTCCACCTCTCCCTGTGGAAAGTTTGGGCCTCAGCAGTGCAAGAGCCCAGGGTGCACACGTTTCACCAAAAAGAAATTTGAAGCAAAAAAAAAAATTATATATATATATACATATATATATATATATATAAGACCACCAAAAAAGCCAAAAGAAACCACCAACCCCCACCCCCAACACCCAACCCCACGCTCCCAGCCTGGGAGCCGAGCCTGCAAGGCTCCGTTGTAATAAATGCTATTTGAAAAGCCCAGCGTAGTCCCTGTGTGTTTGGGAGGAGCGGAGAAGCACCGCAAGGATGCAGCCCTTAACAACCCAGATCCCGTGGCAGCGATGCTCCTGGGTGATGCTCTGTGTCACCGCTCTTTTTGGATGCTCAGCCGTGGATGCGGGAGCACAGGAGCAGATGCAGCGGGTGCAATGCTTTGCAGCAGGTAGGATGAGGTTTTGTTCCCTTTGGAAAGCATCCCCACCGTGCATGTCCTGCAGGAGCTGCCCCTGCTGGGTTTGCATGCAGAGCACAGCGCCAGGCTGTTGTCCCCCTCCCTGTGCTGGCAGCTCCTGCTTTGGTTGCTTGCAATGAGAAATGCCTTGCATGTGATCCAGCAGGATGGCTGGGGGCAGCTCTGGGGTTTTTGCAAGCACCGCATGGATTTGCATTGCAGCTCCAGCAGCACACAGCCTGTTTGCACCAGGGACCGAGCTTGCAGCCTCCTGCTTCTACAGGCAGCTAAAGAGCATGGGACCCGTGGCAAAAGCAGCAGAAGTTTGCTGCTGAGGACCTGCAGCAGCATTGCTGGTGGGGATGCAGAGCTCTGCAATGTCCAGGGCATGCAAAGCCAAAACGTAACGGCAAAGCAAAGGGGAAAAAGGGATGAGAAATCAGGATTGTTGTTTTTAAATTTATTCTTCCTTCATAAAGACACGTGTAAAAAAAAATCCTGGATAAAACTAACTGGCTGGGCCAGAGCTCTGTATAAAAACACACCATCACACATAGTAAAAAAAAAAACCAAAAACAACCAGCTATTTTTATATTATAAGTTAACGTATGTACGCGTTTGCAATTAATAAATACATAAATACAAAAGTTCTGCTGGTATTTGGCACAGGGCTGGAGAGGATGGAAAGGGGCGCAGGGGGGGCTGCCCACAAAGCTGCGCCCGCGCAGGGGGAGCTCCAGGTTGGGCTGCAGCTCCATCGCCCTGCAGCACCTCATCCCCGAGCTGTGCGCCGTCCCCGCAGGTGGAGGAGCAACCCAGCCAGTTGGGGGCCCCCACGGCCCTGGCAACGGGAGTGAGATGAGCCGCCCTTATTTCAGCCGCCTCAGTGCCGACGAATCGCGCCCGCGTCGCCTGCAGTCATAGAATCGTGGACTTGGGTTGGAAGGGGCCTTGAGGATCGTCCAGTTCCAACCCCACTGCTACAGTCTTGTGTCTACTGCTAAGGGCAAGCAGAACTAGCTACAGATGCAACTCTAAATAGATCGTAGGGGGTAACCCAAGAGCCCCAGGGATGCTCGCCCACCACGCATGCAGTACGAAGCGTGAGGGTCAGCTCGGAGATGTTCTACAAGCAGAAGTATCACTAAAAAAATTAAAAAGTTAGAATCAGTGAGTGCCCGCACCAAGCAAAGATGCAGTTCTGCACCGAGGTCTGTATCAAATCAGTGCTGGTGAATGAGATGATCTCAAAGGCAGCTTGGAAGACCTTTTGGCTCGTTGCGTCGGCCAAATGAAATCAAGGCACTCGCGTGGCTTCCATAAGGCAGCACCAACGCTGAGTGTGGCGGAGAAGAACCCAGCTGGGATCGACTCCTCCAGGCTCAGCTGAACAGTGCGACGGCTCCGGGAGGAAGGAGCCATGAGAATACTATCACAAAGATCGAGAGAAGGGTTCTCAGAGGAATCTGCATCTTCAGCTCCAGCTGGGGAGGCGCAGGGCTGGCTGCGCTCCTCAGCTCACTTCGTACTGGAAATATCCATTCCTAACGAGTTCGGAGGCAATTAGGTCTGCCACGCCGCTGAGGCTGATCTGGGACAGGGTCTCCAGCAGTGTATTCACGGAGGCTTTGCTGCCTTCTTTGTTGAGCCACATGTTGAGCATCTGATATAAGGGCTCCCCTGAGCCTCTGTCGTTCTGCTCTGCCTGATAAAGGTTGTTTTCCCGCAGACCGAGGGCTCGGCCGAATCTCCTCCATTCAGGGAAGGGCACAAACTCGACAAAGGTGTTGAAAGAGGAAAACAAAACTGGAATGAGAAGGGAGAAGCTCAGCGAATGCGGATATCTGGACTGGAAGAGCTTTCTGAGAGCCCTCAGGCTCAGCCCATCCCTGCGCACCAGCACATCCCAACACTTACCAGTTAGGGGGTCCTTTCCTGGCACTGGAACCAGCTTCCTCTGGGTTTCCACGTTGGGATTTGAAGTTCTTGGTGCCACCTCCTGAAAAAGAAGCGTATTACAGCACCCAGAGAGCTCTGGCATGAGCACCATCCCCCCACCCTGCTAACAGTGGGGTCAGGGAACATCTCTGGGCACTGCTGGGGCAGGAATTGCCACGCAGCCCTGGGATGCTCCTCTTTGGGGTGATGGGTTCCTAACACCGGGATCCTGATATCTCATGGGTGCTGGGCAGGGGGAGGTTTGCTCACTACTGAGTGTAGAATGAACATTATGGGCACAGAACATCTCCGTGCCCATCTCCATCTCCATTCCCGTCTCCACCTTCCCCCATCTTCATGCAGACACCCTGGTTCAGCTCTGGAAGGCCTTGAGTTAATCAGCTCAAGGCGGAGGAAAGCAGCAGAGCTCAGCCTTGCAGTGCCATACCTCCATCTCAACACCACAGGGAACCTCTGAGCTCTGCACTGTGGTGAGCGGCTCCTGCTGCTGGTTCAGGTAGATCTGCTCGTTGCATTTGTTGTCCTGAATCCCCATCCTCTGCAACAGTCTGTTCTGCTGGAAGAGAAACGCAGAGCAGCCAGGCTGGAGCCCCCCATCCTGGCAGCGGGGGCTGCAGGTGAACCACCCCCCCCTCACCACAGCATTCCCATGAGCTGCGAGCAATGCGGGCAGCAAGCAGAGCAAAGCCCAGCACAACTCACCACCACGGCGCTGGGCTTCCTGCTCAGACCTCTGCCACCCCCTGGAAGAAAAAGCAGCGCTGTCACCCTTCCTCTCCACAGGACGTCCCCTTCCTGCCCACACTCTGTGGGGTGAGGACCCCACGTCTACGGCCCGCGATCCCCCTCACCTGCACCGCAGTGTCTGTAGCAGCACCATGAGAACACCGGCAGGAACACCAGGACCACAACCAGCACGGTGATGGTAATGATGCCTGTTAAAGCTGACAACACGGGGGTGTGGGGAGCTGCTGCCACAACAGCAGCCCCCAATCCTCCATCCCTCTCCCCATCCCAAACTCACTGGAGAAGCTGGAGGAGATGTCCAAGGGAGGACCGCACTGCAGGTCGCTGTGCTGCGTGCATGGAGCTATCCTCACTTGTCCTTTGGGGCACCTGGAATGGGGGATATGGGGCAGGTTCAGCACCCGGGGATCCCCCCAGCAGCCCAAGAGCTCCCTAGCTCCCAACTCACCGGGTTTGGCACTTTTGGCACATCTCACAGGGGTGGTCAGGTAAGCAGAAGGTGCCGTTCTTGCAGGCGCACTGCGTGTTCCTGGTGGGGATGCAGGGACTCACCTCCACCTGGTCTGTGGGCAAGAAGCAACACAGCTCTGCTCAGGCTCTCCCATCCGCTCCCCCATGCAGCCAACAACCCACAAGCCCAGGGAAGCCCAGCTTCCTCCCCGGGGTGGAGTTTTGCCATGCCCGCATGCCAAAGCAATGATTGTATTAAAGCTCCCGCAGCAGCCTGCAAGCACCGCCATGCGCCCAACCCCCCGCAGTCCTTGCTGGAGGACTCACATCCCAGCTTTGCACAAGGGATGCTGTGCCGCTTGGAGATGCAGATCTGGAAGTATCCAGTGCGCCAGGTCAGGATGCAGCCTGCTCCCTCCATCCCAAGCACACCCAGCACAAGCTGCTCCTCAGGGCTGCTGCAGATGTCCTCACTCCTCATGCAGAAGCTCTGATAGCAACCCTCCCTCACACCACCTCATACCTTCCCTACACGTCCGGCAGCCCAGGCACATGGGGAAGTTGTTTGGATACTCGGTGTACTCATCTTTCTTACATGGGAAACACTTGGAGGAGTCATTTGCCAAAGAGGGGCCTGCAAGAAGGGGTGAAACGGAAAGAAGTACGAGTTAATGCAGCACACTGGAGACACGGCGCTGCCAAGACGTGGAGATGTCATTGCAGCAAGAGCTGATTCTGCTGTCACTGAGTTGCACGGAGTGATGCTTGTGGCTGCCTTACCCATAGGACACTTCTTGCTGTAGAGGTCTGGTTCCAGGACATCTGACTCGCCTGCCCGCTTCTTCACTGCCGCAGCAGATCCCAAATGAACCTTCTGTTAAAAGCACAGGAAAAACGGGTTAGAAACACCCCAAACCCTTGGTGCAAAGGAGAAGCATCGCACTGGGACAACCCGCAGCTGCTGGACCCGATTATGCCTGCTTTTCTTCCCCAGTTTCTGAGCACGTGAACCAACAGAACGGAAGAAAGCAGCACGGTGCCGTGCAGGGATAATGCAGAGCAGCAAGGGAGGCGGTGGGGAGGAAGGCTGAGCTGCTCCCACCGTTTCCACACCACTGGGGCCCCAGGACAGGGTGCAGGGACACGTGGCAGAGGCTCCGTACCCGCGCTGTGCCCTTCCCATAGCCCGCCTCGTAGAGCACATATTTCTTCCCTGAGTCAGAAACGCTGAAGCAGCACCTCCAAGGCACCGCAGGAGCAATATTGGCCCCCCCTCTTCCTCTTCATCACTTCCCGCAAGGAAGGGTGTGGGCACGGGGAAACAATGACATGGAGGGGACACCTCCATAATGGAGGACCGAGGCCCGCGCTCACCGTCAGCATTGCTCTGAGGAAGCTTTCCTGGAGCTCTCCACCTCCCCACCTCCTCTGCATTGGGGCAGGGAGCAAGAAGAGAAATGAGAGCAACTCAGGTCCGGGTCAAAACGCCTGCCTGAGCCGTTTGGGTGTTCATGAAGGACAAAAAGCCTTCTTCTGTCTGACGCAAATCCTTTGCCTTCCACCACCTCTGCAGTTTTTAGGGCTTCACCAAACCGAGACCTGGGAGTTTTCACAGATGGAGAGCGCCCTGCCTGTCCTCATGGGGAAAAAAAGCTCTTCCCCATTCAAACCCTGCAAAGTTGATCTCACCAACAACACAACCCCGCCTGCCGTTCGGAAGGGCCCCTCGTGTGTGGGATTTCATCACTGTCACAAAACAGAACTGTGCACGATAAAGTTACCAGCCTTCCCAGCCCGTATGGCAGCCCTGCAAAGCACCCAGGGCCAGAACCCACGTGCGCAGGAAACGTCCCCAGCACCACGCTGGAGGAATCGCCAGGCAGAGGAATCCAATATCCTCATCTGCTCAAAGCAGAACTCCGTGCATTTTCCTTCTTTTCTGCCTTTTTTACCCAAGGGAGGCACTGGACCATGGCAGCACCGATCCCACATGGAACCTCACACCGTCCTGATGGCATTAACACAACGCCAGCTCTCCATTTTGGGAAGAGAGGCTGTAAGTAAGCCCTGAGCCATTTCCAGCCACACCAAAGGGGTTTTCCCACCGGGCTTTACGCAGTTGGAGTTTGAGCTCTGGCAGATCCAGAGCCATTGCACACAACCCTCGTGTGCTGGTGGCCCAACTCCAGGCATGATGCAAGGGGCAGCGGCGCAACATCGGGCGACAGCCATGTGCAGCACCGAGTTAAGCAGTCAAATAAGGGGCTGTTCTGAATGCCTCCACAGGTGCTGGCATCAGCGAGGCTTTAAGATGCTGGAAAATAGCACCTCAACCACTGAATTCCTATAAGCTGCACATGGTAGGAACCGGACGAGAAGCTGATGCTCTTTTAGGGTCGGATGGTGGGCACCCCACCGGGGTCTGAGTGCCTCTGTGATGGCACAAACCACAATCCAGCTCCCCCAGCCTCGGGGGTGCATTTCTGTGGGGCCAGGCGAGGTGAGGCTGTAGGTATGTCACACTTGGGGCACCACCCATCCACGCAGGAACACAAATGGTGCGCAGTGGAGTTTTGGCCCCGGCTGCCATCAGCGCTGAGGTCTGGGCACCCATCATACGGGGTGATGTGACGCATTCCTACACTGCACCTCCAGAGCCCAACGCTGCCGAATGTTCCCGATGGTCACCGACAACAAAATGGCTCTCAAGCAAAAAGCGGGGAATTCCCTCCCAGCCAGGCAGCGCAGTAGGAATCCATCCCCCATACGGCCAGGCTTGCTGTCCCTGAGCCTCACACGCCCATAGGGCCGATAGCCTATCCCATCCCCCCTCTGTGCCCCACAACCTCGGCCCCACACACCCCTGTCCCCTACAAACCCACCCAGGAGAGCCCACCGCTCCCATCCCATGGGCGTCACCAAAGTACTGCTGATGGCTGAGCCCCCGTAGCCCCAGCATTCCGTACAGCCCCCAGGCCAGCGAAGCGGCCCCATAGCCTCACCACCCCCAGTTTGGGGGCCAGGTGACCCCCCCACAGCCCCCGGGATCATGGGAGCCCCGCAGAGCCCTTAGACCAAGGGAGCCCCCCACAGCCCCTGCACCTTCCATAGCCCCTAGATCCGGGAAGCCCCTCCATGCCCTCGGCTCCCCCCATAGCTTCCGATCTGGGTGACCGCAACTCCCGGACTCCCCCACTCCCCCCCGTCCAGAAATTCCCGCTAAAGGAGAGCTCCAATCCTCTACACTCCCCCATCACCCCCCCACTCCACGTGAACCCCTACACCCCCATTCCCACAGACTCCCACCTGTTCCACCCCCCCCTTATCCCCATCCCCCATAAAAACACCCCCCCTTGCCTCCCACCCCACCACTTCCCATACAAAAGCCGCCCCCATCCCCACCTCTCCATACCCCCTCGACGGTGCGACAAGCCCGGACATGCCGCGCCGATATCGGGCACCACCTTCGGGAATACCGAGACCCCAAAACATCCCCCCGGTGCCCCCCAGCCCCCCTCCCACCCCCCGTCAGCCCCCCACCCCATCCACGCACCGCCAACAGCAGCAGCAGGACGGGGCAGAAGAGGAGCGTAGCTGAGCGCATCGTGCGCGGTGAGGGGCGCGCAGCGCCCGGGCTGGGATCCGGATTCGGATCGAGTGAAGACGGGGTTTGGTCCGAAACGGGACCTGGTCCGAACGCGAAGTGAATTCCGCGAGCTGACAGCTTTGCCGAGCGGAGCGATGTGAAGCAATGTGAGCAACTGCCGGGATCGTTGGTGACGTAGGGAGGAGATCCGCGAGGAGGAGGAGGAGGAGGAGGGGGAGGAGGAGGAGGAGGAGGAGGAGGAAGAGGGCTGGCCGCGACCTCCAGGCACCGCCACAAACTCACGTATCGAGAAACCGCAGCAAGTTTCACTGCAGAATCACTAAGAGAGGGAAAGCTGAACCTGGCTCACGTTTCACACGCTTTTATTATTGATTTGTTAGACTTTTTCTTTTTTAATACATATGTAAAGGATTTTTTTGCCCAAACTTCTGTTCTTGAAGCTCTCGGGAGAGATGAGGGCTTTGCTCAGCATCTTCTCACTGAGGTTCTTTGATATGGAGGATGGGGTTGTAGGGAGAGCAGAGCAGTGCAGAATGAACCCATCATCGCCACTGAGCCGGAAAATGGGGAATTCCAGATTGTTTTGGGGAGAAAAATTCAATGAAGGGGGAAAAGAAAAAAACACACAAAAAGAAAAACAGCAGGAAAACCTCCGGATTTTCTACTGTTACACAACGGGTCTCTGCAGCGGGGTTTTGTGGATGGGGTGGAATTAAAACTACCCCAAAAGCAGAGCAGAGAAATGCAGTCCCTTGTTAATCTTTCTCTAACCTTGAACTCTGGGCTAGTGCAACTCATGCAGAGCGCTGGGAGCTTGCAAGAATTCCGGGCTCCCTCCCTAGAGGTGACTCACCAGGCTGAGTTAAATAACCCTTCAGCGCCTTTTTAAGCATCGCCCGAGGCAGAGAAATTGCAGGTGAGAGCGGAGGCAGAAGGCTCTGGGTAGCGATAAATGGTGCGGCTCCACGCATTGGGTGAGAACAGGGCATGGTTGGCAGCTTGGGATGGAGGGGAAAGCAGTGATGCTCAGCAGCTGCAATGGGGCCGGCGGGGCTGCAGGTGACAGCGTGGGGCAGCTGGGAGCATCCCCTCGGTGTGGCAATGAATTGGAAATCCATCCTGCAGACAGCAGGGCTCATCCACACTGAGTGCATTCAACTCAAGTGCGATTTAAAGCAGAAAGATGAACCAGTGGCTGTTTCCTGGGGCATTAGCAACCCCAGGGCCCTTTGCTTAACCAACCCCAATGACTTCACCCAGCTCAGGTCATGCAGCACTTTGCAGGCAGCTGATTTTCCCAGTTAGCTCAGAGCAAACATTGCTTTCCAGCCCTGAACGTTCAGCAGGACTGGAAGGACCGACATCCCGACCTGCTGCTGTTGATGGGATGCCTTGCACACGCACAGCATGCAGACATTCCCCCAGCTTTAGGCTGTTTGCTCCTTTTCTACACATTCTTCCACTTAACAGCAGGCACTTCGGTTCCCATTCTGAGCAGCACTTGCTTAATTTAGTACTGGAAATAAGAACTCTTATCCACGCCAGCACTCAGGACCCAGACTCCTCATCCTCGCTAGGAAGCTGCAGCCACAAACCTCTTATTTATAAAGCTTGGACCAGGAATGATCCGTGCCAACAACCGCAGACGTCGTGTTTTTGCACAGCTCTGAACAAAGGCAGCTTTATGCTCGGCATGTGGGTGCTCACAGCACATCGGGGCAGCAGTGCTTTGCAGGCAGGGATACACACACACACACACACACACACACTCACACACACTCACATCACCCACCCACCTGGCCAGAATTTCCAGCCAGACGTGCAGAACGTTTCCATGTAAGGTTGATTTGCACCGAATTCAGGCAGGAGAGGATTTATCAGCCCGGGACAGGCTGCTCTGCCTGCTTATCGCCTGCAGCCCGGCTCCTTGCAAACCCAGGGAGGCTGCAGAGCAGAAGCACTGGGTGTGAGTGCAGTGCACTGCAGTGGGGCACCTCCACTGTTACACATCACCAAATTCCCACTCTTTCACGGCTCTGCTGCAGGTGGTAAATAAAATGAGTGCAAGGAGCACAGCTTGCCTCCAGGGAGCAGGGAAGGTGTGGGAGCAAAGTGGGAATTGATGACTCACAGATGATGCCTGCCGTAAAGGGCTGCACGGGATGCTCACTCCTATCAGCCCTTCTTGTTCTCCTGGCTAATGAACATTGGTTTCATCATGTAGGGTGAGAGCAGCTTCTCTTCTCTTCTCTTCTCTTCTCTTCTCTTCTCTTCTCTTCTCTTCGCTTCTCTTCGCTTCTCTTCGCTTCTCTTCGCTTCTCTTCGCTTCCCTTCCCTTCCCTTCCCTTCCCTTCCCTTCCCTTCCCTTCCCTTCCCTTCCCTTCCCTTCCCTTCCCTTCCCTTCCCTTCCCTTCCCTTCCCTTCCCTTCCCTTCCCTTCCCTTCCTTCCCTTCCCTTCCCTTCCCTTCCCTTCCCTTCCCCTCTCTTCTCCTCTCTTCTCCTCTCTTCTCCTCTCTTCTCCTCTCTTCTCCTCTCTTCTCCTCTCTTCTCTTCTCTTCTCTTCTCTTCTCTTCTCTTCTCTTCTCTTCTCTTCTCTTCTCTTCTCTTCTCTTCTCTTCTCTTCTCTTCTCTTCTCTTCTCTTCTCTTCTCTTCTCTTCTCTTCTCTTCTCTTCTCTTCTCTTCTCTTCTCTTCTCTTCTCTTCTCTTCTCCCTGCCCTTCCCTGCCCTCCCCTCCCCTCCCTTCAATTCAAAGCTGTACCACAGAACCATAGGATGCCTTGGGAATCCATCTGATAATTCTGAACTTCCCCCTCTGGATAAAAACAGATTTGGCTCATAAATACCAGGTTCCTCTTTATAAGTGGAATGAGGGACTCATGGGCAGCCTGGCTGTGAACTCCATGAGAACAGACCTTGGTTTCCCTCTGGGCAAGCCTCAGAGCCCTGGGTTCCCCATTCCCTTCTGCACAGCGGGATGCTTGGACTGCTGAACTCAGACCGACCCCCTTCCCTGCTCTTCCCATCCCTCCCCTTTTCTGTGCCCTTGAAAATAGACTTAAAAGGGGCCTTGGAATGAGGGAGAGCCCAGGTGGGATGAGGGCTGCACTGCTGCAGGTTCCTTATCCCAGGTGAGCATCTGTATGCTTTGACACCACTGCAGAGCTCCGGCTCTGGGTTTGAAATGATCAGCATTGCATAAAACCTCATCGAGTCCCTTCCCAGGGGGTTACAAAGCCCACACAGTGCCCCAGAGCAGCCTGCAGCCCCCTGCTGACCCCCCCATGCTCACCCCATAAACCTGAGACCCTGCAAAGGGACCAAGCTGCTGCTGTTCCACCTCTCTGTGCCAATGCAAAACAAACTAGCCACCGATGTCTTGAACCTTTCCTCCAAAAAATCACACACAGGTAGGTTCTCCTGTCAAATATCACCCCATGTCCACTTTGTACTGTTTTCTCACAGGTCAGGAGGGGATTTCTTGTGCAGGACGAGGATCATCACTCGGCTCCTTTCATGGGTGAACACGTGATGCCTCCCTCCAGCAGCCAAAGGTTCAAGGCTGATTTTCTCAGGTGTTTAAACACAGCCCTGTGCGGTTCCTGTGATGAGGCCTCGTGGTCAGACCTCGTGGTTCAGCTTCCTGTCCGCAGTGTTTGCTTTGCTTTGCACCCTCCCTTGTGCAGAACGGCTTTGGTTCCTGGGTATCAATGGCTTCACAGTTACAAGGCAGTGTAATTTTGAGGCCAACACCGAAATGACTAATTTGAAATCTCAGCTTGGCTGAAAGGAAATAAAAATAGTCTCTTGGCTCTGCTGAGTCATCTGCTAATTTAAAGCACAGATCAGAGCATGTTTAAAGGCTGCTCCAGGACCCTGCAGCATCCAAGAGAGCCAAAGAGGCCACACTGAGCCTCGAAAGGGTCAGCAATGGCTTTCATTCACCATGGCCATGGGTCGGGTAGGGCACAAGCAAGCCATAAAGCAAAACACAGTTTTCCAAACTCCACACGCTGAGATATGGCAACTGAGTTTGAGCCTTCGTGCTCACCCACAGCCATAAACCTTAAAGGAGAACTGCACGCAAGATGCAGGGATTCAGTGCAAAGAGTGCAGTTCCAAGGAGCCCTGCAGCAGCAGGACGGCTCCCGGAGCCTTCTGCTGAAATGCAGAGCTGTCCTTTTCTCTGCAGGGCAAGAAACAGCACATATGGAGGGTGCAGAGATATAGAAATAGCAAAACCTTGGCAGCTCTGCTTGAGGAACAGCCTTTGCCTCCCCTTTTTTCTCAGTCTGAAAACGTCACTCTCCCCAGGAAGAAACCCCTGGCAGCGATGGCACGCTGGTATTCACAGTCACCGTGCACAGAAAAGACCTCCAGACCCCAAATCCAACCCCAACCCATCCTCACTGACCGTGTGCCACATCCCGCGGTTCCACCACAGCCCCGGAGGCAGCGCCCCCCCCCCCCGGCCGCCCGTGCTGAAGCATTAACCCTCTTTACGAGATTTTTTTTCCCTAAATATCCAATGTCAGCCTCTCCTTCCCCCCCTGCAGGTCATTTCTCCTCGTCCTATCGCTATTTTTTGGGATCCCTGGGCCCTACACGACCCACCCAGACTCGGAACCATAAGGAGGGTCGACCTTAAAGCGTTCTGAGGGCCACGGAAAGTATTTTTGGAGAATGCGAGATGATCTGCTATGCACAGAACAGCGAGAACTGCCAGCGCTGGGGGCCACGCTCAGCACACACCGTGCGCTGTTTATACGGCATTTATGCGGTGTTTTTCGGCGGACGGAGGGGCTCGCTGATCCAACCCTGAGAGGTTTTCGGGGTTTCCACGTGCGCAGCACGGTGCTCTCACACCGCCAGCCCTGCTGCAAGGCACTGCCGTGCCACCCACACGCTGCTCGCTCAGAGCAGCCCCTCAGAGCTGTGACCGGCAGCCCAGAGCACGCTGCGAGCCCCACACCCCCGAAGTTCCATGCAGCCACGTGGAGGAGAACGATGAACTCCCACTCATTCTCCCCTCCACCGCCCCACTGCCCAAAATGGCGGCCGCGCTTACAGCGCATGCGTAGGGCCGTACCACGACGGGCGGTGTGGGGGGAGGCGGCGTGGAGCGGCCCACACAAAGGACAGCGGTGGGGGGAGCAGCGCGCATGCGCTTTGCGCGTCCCTGGCAGCCAGGCGGGTTCCGGCCGGGCGGAGGCCGCGGCGAAGCCGGGGGCTCGCGTAGATGTGCAGCCCGGGGAGGGCGCCCCCTGGGCCGGCCCCGGCGGGGGACCTGCCGCCCGAGTGGGAGACGGACGACGAGCGTATGGCTTTTCTGTTCTCGGCTTTTAAGCAGAGCCGCGAAGTGAACAGCACCGAGTGGGACAGCAAGATGGCCTTCTGGGTCGGGCTGGTGCTGGGCTGGGGCCGCCGCCGCGGTGCGGTTCGTACCTGTCTGCGAGAGCTGCAGAACGGCTTCGAGCGGCGGGGCAGCGTGCCGCTGGGCCTCGGCACCGTGCTGCGGGAGCTGCTCAGGTAGCGGGGGCTGCGGGCTGGGCCTGAGGGCCGGGCGGTGGACAGCAGCCTGGATCGGGGGGGGGGGGGACACGATGGTAGTGCGGGGCTGTGGGGCCGGGGGTGCGGTGGGATGGGCTGAGGGGCTGCGAGGCGATGGGGCTGGGGATGGGGATGAGAACTCAGGAGTGAAGCAGTCACTGGGGAGATCCTGTGCCTGGAATTACCTCCCTGTGTCCGATTATTGAGCTGGGGAGAGTGGCAGGGGTCTGTGTAAGGGAGGGGATGCAGCTGGGGAGCTCTGTGCGATGGGGGCTTGAGGCATGGAACAGGTTGGCCAAGAAGGCTGTGGATGCCCCATCCCTGGAGGCATTCATGGCCAGGCTGGATGTGGCTCTGGGCAGCCTGGGCTGCTGGTTGGCGGCTCTGCATATAGCAGGGGGTTGGAACTGGATGAGCATCGTGCTCCTTTGCAACCCAGCTCGTTCTGTGATTCTGTGGGCAAGTGCAGCCAGGAGCCCTAAGTGGGGTGCACAGACAGAGAGGGGCTTGGGGTGATATACATGGCTAAGGGGCTGCTTCTGGAGGGTAGGAGGGGGCTGTGCCTGGAATTGGGGGCCCACCCCACAGTGGGGCTTTATGGGGGGCCCTTGTTGTGTGAGTGGGCTGTGATATGGGGAGCTTTGTGTGTGCAGAGCTGTGTTGTGCCAGGCAGCGAGAGGGGCTTGAGAGAATGTCAGCTGTATCCATGGCAGGGGGAGTGCATTGAGGTGCTGGAGAAGCAGTGGGTGCAGGGGGACCTAAGGGTGCTGCCCCTGGAGGGGGGGGTGGTTGTGCCCTCGAGTGCTGATCAAGCACAGGGGTTATGTAGGAGCATGAAGAGATTTTGCGCCATGCAAAGTAGGGGAGAGCACAGAAAGGTCAATGTGGGGCTGCGTAGGAGGGAGCTCTGTACGAAGTAAAGCAGCACAGCCAGGAGCTTGGGGTTTCCCAAAGGATGTGCACTGGGGCTGGCAGGAGCTGTGGGAGGGCAGTACCAAGGGAAGCGCTGCACTGGGAGGACCTGTAGGTGCAGGAAGGAGCTGGGTGTTAAGTGGGGTTACATTCTGTCAGATGGTTGCTGTGATGAGAGGCTCTGATGGTGTGTGGGGTTGTGTGGGCACGTGGGGATGTTTTGCATGCATTGTGCTTGCAATGAAGTGTTTTGTCTTGTGAAGCTAGCCTGAGTCTGATAGCCTGAAATGATTCAAGGACAGCAGTGCTTAGCTGAATCCAAGTGCAATGTAACATTTCTCAGATACTGAGAGTTCCTTTCTTTTTTTGTTGTTGCAATTTAATGCACAAATGAAGCAGACGTGAAATTTGCAACTGAGCTTCCTCATCAGTTTCTCCGTTCAGTGCCTCACTGGTTTCAAGTAACAAAGCACAGAAACTGTGAGCCTGGAAGAAGCTGTTTTGTTTTGTTTTCTGTGCTGGCACCCATCCTTGCTGCTGGTGGAAGAGCTGACTGTATTCGTTTCTGCATGCATGGCTTTTCTCTAGACGTGGCAAGATGCAGAGGGAGTCGGACTTCATGGCCAGTGTGGACAGCAGTTGGATCTCTTGGGGTGTGGGAGTCTTCATCCTGAAGCCTCTGAAGTGGACGCTCTCAAGTGTGCTGGGTGACAGCAAAGTACCAGAGGAGGAGGAAGTTCTGATTTATGTGGAGCTACTTCAGGTAAGCGCTGCTGAGAGCCTTCAGAAAAATACAAGAGCAGTTTTAGGTGCTAGCAAGGAAGGTTTGGGGTTGAAAAAGGACCGCCTTCAGGCTTTCCTGTACACCTGAGGAGTACAGAAACAGATCTGTGGATGTTCCTCTAAGCTGATGTGTTGACTTCTTGCTAACATCTAAGAAATGAGAGGGCAGGCTTGCTGCCTTACCCAGGAAGACAAGAAGTCTGCTGTGAGACCTCTGTACATCTCAGGTTTGAGTTGGTGCGAGTGTGGTATACAAGAGGAATTTACAGTCTGAATTGAAGAGTGCTGTGCTGGCAGTCAGGATCCTGGGATCCTTTCTGTTGGTGGCTGTTAAAACGAGCACCAGATTTACTGCTGCTGTGTGCAGATGGCCTCTGGATGACTGGGGCTAGAAGAAATGCAAGAGCTCTGTGGGTGTGTGCCTTTATTTGTAGTTGATCTGATAGCACACCGTGCCTTTCCTCAGCGGTGGGCACTGCACACTCCTTTCAGTGTGGAAGAGGAAACTTCAAAAGGTGTCTGGAACATCACGTGCCTCGATGCAGAGCTCAGGAGTCGATGGGAGGAGTTGTTTCTGTAGTTCCTCTCTTTGAATGGGGAAAGCTTTTCCCTTGTTTACGCAGGAAAATGACTCAGTGAGTTCAGCTCGTTGCCTGGATTGAAGAAAAGTTCATTTGGGGTTTAAACTCCTGGGGAGAGGAAATGTAGAAGCGCCCACCTTGCTGCTTGGATTGCAGCAGCAGTATAGTTGTTTTCAGGTGTTGTTTCTGCCTCGTTCTGCAGGTCAGCCTGACCCAAGCTGGGCCTGACTTTGTACCTTTGGTGTGTGAGAGGAAGTGGGTGCAGCTTGGCATCGTGAGCTGAAAAATAGCTGAGAGGAAACTGACCGCTGTCCTGTGTCCTTCCAGGAGAAAGCAGAGGAAGTTTATCGCCTGTACCAGAACTCTGTGCTTTCATCTCACCCCGTCGTTGCCCTCTCTGAGCTGCGTTCCCTCTGCGCTGGTGTTTGTCCAGATGAAAGAACGTTCTACTTGCTGCTGCTCCAGCTGCAAAAGGAAAAGAAAGTCACAATCCTGGAACAGAATGGAGAGAAGGTACAGGGTCAAGGTGACTGCTGTGGGGAGGTGTAACCCTGTCTTATGTTTTATCTGGCTGGAAGGGACTTTGTTGGCCAAAGCTGTGCGTTCTGTGCTTGAGGAAAGCGATTCTATGCGTTCCAACAGCACAGCCTGATAACAGATGAGATTCAGTTTTGTGTGCTGCCATCCAACATCTGGAGCATCACCCACGTTGCTTACAGACTGGCAGATATTGCAGCTGGCAGCTCTTCCAGCTACCCAAACTGAAGTGGGTTCGTGCTGCTGGAACGGGGGTTTCTCTGCTCATGCCAAGGCCCCCCTGTTTGTCAGCAGCACTGAGCAGGCTCTGCTCTCCCTGCTGGCAGTGCTGGGCACTGTGGCTCTGTACTGAAGAACCTAGAAGCATGATGCTGCCCCACGCTGTTCGAAGTACTGGGACAGCTTTATGTGATCAGGGTGCTCATTAAGGCAGGATTCCATCTAATTTAATATCAAATTATACTGGCATGGCTCCTCAACTCTGTTACAAGACTCAAAGAAAACCACGGGTGTAAAAGCATCTTTTCTTTCTGTTAGAATGAAAATATTTCCAGTGCAGGCGCAAATGGTGGAGATGAGTGAATCGAGTGTGTGCTGCTGCTTTTCCTTTAGATAGTGAAGTTTGCCAGAGGACTTCATGCCAAAGTCTCTCCAATGAATGACGTGGACATCGGAGTCTATCAGCTGATGCAGAGCGAGCAGCTGCTGTCACAGAAGGTGGAGTCCCTTTCCCAGGAAGCAGAGAAGTAATTTGGGGATGGGTGGTGGGAAGAACTTCCGTGTGATGCAGAACTCTGTACCTCTGTTAGGTAGTTAAGAGCAAAGCTGCCTTGTTCTTTCCCAGAAAAGTACACTTAATATCTTCAGTAATGCTGTAGGGCAGGCTTTCTAGTCTTGTTTCTTGCCCCTATGAAAACTGTATGCAGTGAGTGGATGTCAGAAGCTTTGCAATGATCTGAAATACTTCCAAGGGTTACTTGTGAAAAGCAGGAATGGCTTGAGGGCTGCTGAATCTGAAATTCCTGGGTACTTGGTCGCTTGCTGTGTGTCAGAGCAAGGTGGTGAAGGTGGCTGCAATTCTAAAGTTTGTTTCTAAGAAAGAAACACAAACTACTGCTGCTTGCAAAGGACTAATCTCTCTTTTTTCTTATTGCATCTGTACAGATGTAAAGAAGATGCCCGGAATGCTTGTAGAGCTGGGAAAAAGCAACTGGTAAGTGATGGTCTGTTTAGGAGCAGTAGGACAGGTGAAATGCCTCGGGGCTGGTTGGTTACTACAGCTACTGACCAGGTTTGGTGTGGTAAGGTTTATCTCACGAGTGTGAAGAGTGTCTCTGTTGTCAGAGGTCTCCTTAAGGTGAAGGCATGGCTTTGTCAGACCTGGTGACGTGGTGAAGAGAATGGGAACATGTAGCTCCTAAAACCAGCAGCTTTGTGTGCCTTGTTGTGCAGGGGGGATTCTGTTCCCTTTGAGCTCTGCCTGGTCGGTGAGCCAGGTCTGTTTGTGTCCCATGTCTGCAGGCTCTGAGATGTCTGAAGTCCAAACGAAGGACAGAAAGGCGCATTGAGGAGCTTCATTCCAAGCTGGATGCAGTGCAGGGGATCTTGGATCGGATCTACGCTTCCCAGACCGACCAGATGGTAGCTGTTCTTCCTGACTTCTCAGCCCCACTCTTTCCTTTTGTGTTGCTTTACCTGTTCCTCTGCCTTCAAGCCAGCTGGTGAAGCTTTATGCTCTGCTCGAGGAAGCAGCAGCTCTGATATCAGAGCATTGCTTTGAGAGAAATGCTTCTGGCTCTTATTTTGTGTGCTCACTTCTCTATGAGTGCCCTGCTTGAGCAGTGAGCATCGAGAGGTGCTGACAGTGTTTGCTTTTAGTTGACATCGTGCTTCTGTTTCTTTTTCTTCCAGGTGTTTAATGCCTATCAGGCTGGTGTGGGTGCTTTGAAGCTCTCTATGAAGGATGTTACTGTGGAGAAGGCAGAGAACCTGGTAGATCAGATACAGGAGGTACTGAAATAGGAGCACGTATAAATAAGCACTTAATGCACAATAAGCACATTTGCCCAGCAGATTTGAAGCATCTGCTGTTGCTTGGTTTCTGCCTTGTGTGTCATCAGAACAAATGGAGTTATTCCTGGTCTTCTCAGACCAGCAAGCAGAGGTATTCCAATAACTGTCTGTGTCTGGTTTTATGTAATTGCATTTGTTGCTGGCCACACCAAACCTCACTTTGGCTCTTCAGTTAGCAGCGTTGTGCAAGCATGCAGCTCTCAGAAAATGTTTCTCTCCTGGAAATGAGAAGAGTGTATTCTGAATTAATGGCAGCAAAGGGAGCAATCAGCATGAGCTGATGGAGAAAACAGGGGAGGATTGTTTCTTCAGCTCCACGTGCTTAAGTGTAGTGACTTCAGCTGCTGAGCTGGAAGGCTGTTAAAATCTCCTGAACTGTTTTCCTGCCCCTTCCTTTGTCAGCATGAGCCTCGATGGAAGCTTGTTGCTTATGTGAAAGAGCGACAGCTGGAGGGATGCCTTCCCTTCTCAGGTTTATTTCCCCTTGCAGCACTTACTCAATTGTCTTCCACATAACTGTTCAGCAGTAACAACAGTAAGGCATGTTGGACTTGTGGAAGCAGCAGCTAGTGCAAAAGAGGCCCACTGCTGGTTTATTTATTAGTTGCTGTTTCTACTTTTGGCGTAGCTGGATTACAGTGAGACAAGAGTGACTTCAATTTCATACAAACTTTTTCTTTTGTTACTCCCTAGCTTTGTGATACTCAAGATGAAGTAGCCCAGACTCTGGCTGGAGCAGGGGTCAATGGTTTGGGTAAGTTCTGGGGCTCTCAGCTTCTGCTTGTGTCCTTGCCACTGCTGTTAGAGGGAGCTGTGGCTCACCAGGAGTTCCCTATTACTCACAATGAAGTGGTGGTGGGGAGAAATAACAACTCCATTAAACTTCAATCCATCCGTGAAGGTGATACTGAATTAGAAGCTGAATGTTTTCTTTCATTGGCAGAGATGGACTCGGAAGATCTGGAGAAGGAGCTGGACAGCCTCCTCCAGGACTCTGCGAAGGAGCCCGTCCACCTGCACCCCGTGCCCCCAGAGGAGCCGATTTCTGGATTTGTAGGAGCCATTTTGGATGCTGAGCTTGAAGCTGAGTTGGAAAAGCTCTCTGTTTGTGACGAAGGTATGGGTGCCAGCAGGCCGTGCTAATTGCCATGGCTGGGATCAGTTACAGGGTTAGGATTTTCCTTGCTGTTGTGTTTTATTATCCGATCCTTCGTCCCGGTGGAAACTGATGGCGTTGTGTTGCAATTTCCTTTATAGATCTGGCACAAGATGCTCCATCGGCTTCCTCTGAACCCCAAACAGCTCTGGGACTGGATCTCTAAAGACCCGACCGCATCCTGTTGCTGCAGTTTGACAAGTTGTCTTCAGGCTCTTTATTTATTGACTAAAACTTTGGGACGGGGGGGCCCTGGTCCCCTCTTCTTCATGAAATCCCTTTGCTAAGCAACAGGATCTCCTGCCGTGACAATCCACTCTGGAACTGGCCCCAGCTGGTGTTTGTCATCTCTGTGCCAACATCTGCACTGGTCTGAATTTGACTTGCTGTCATCTCCAGTCACCTGTGACATCCAGGAACGCAGTTCACTCCTCTGCCCAGTGGAGATAAACTCTCTCTGTCCATAACAGTGCTTGTTGTTGATTTCTTTTGGTTTTCTTTTCCTTTGCTGTGGCTCACGTTGAGAACCTGAGTTGCAGCAGCATTGCAGTTGCTCAACGTTTGGCTGTGTGGTTGTTTAGAACACTTGGCACGTAGGTACTGCCCTTGACATAAGTTACTGCAACGAGCTTCAGCTTCACCACCTGTCTGTAGTTCCGTCCCTCCCCTCTGTGTGCTGCACGGCTGTGGACAACTAGACACTGTAACAATTGTAGGAGGTGTTGCTGCCGCGCTAGAGGGCAGCAATTGCAAGCACAAGACAAAAAAATTCCTCTTTCTGTAATGACACTAAGGCCTTAAAAGGGAGACCTGCAAAATATGTGAAGTTGAGGGAGTTGCTGGTGCTGAGGTCAGTGACGAAGCCTTGCAGTCGCTGCGATGCGACTTCCTGCTTTCTCTTACTTGAAATCTGTGCTGTCTGCTGCCTTTGCATCTTCCTTGTTGGCAAGGCGGCAGCAGGGCGACCTGCTTCCAGCTCTCCTGTGGAATGATTTGGGGTGGGAGGGGAGAAGCTGCATCATTTTCTCGTTTGGAGTTTCGTGTAACAGTTTTAACGGCTTGTGGTCTTGGTGTCGCAATTCCACAAGATGATGGGTTACCAGAAAGCCCCAAAATAAAACCCTGTGTTTCTATTGCAAAAAAAACAAACAAACAAAACCAAGCACGGTATGTGAAGATGGTTTTGGAGGCTGGGAAGTGAAATCATTGCTTTATTTTATTTTATTTTAATTTTTTGCAGGTCACTTTTTTATGCTATGTATGCACTTGGAAAAGCAGAAAGCCTGGTACTGCACCCCAATAAATGAATTCCTTCAGGAGGAGAAGAGAAGGAGCGTGGGCTTCCTGCATGCCCTGCACAGGGCAGGGCAGCCCGGAGCTCTGTTGAGCTGCAGTCCTCTCTGCACCTCTCCCTGACTCGGAATGTATTTGCTATCATCACTGTCTGTTTCTCAGCTCTCTCCTGGCCCTGAGTTGCAGAGCTTGAGCCACGCGCTCGGCTGAGCAGCGCCCTGGGCCTGCAGTTGCTGTGCTGCTGCCGAAGCAGCTTCAGCCCCAGAGTGCTGGGAGAGAAAAGCTGGGCAGCATCAGGTGCTGCTTTGGCTTTGGTGTCCTTGTCGCTCCTGAGCGCTGCAGGCCCTGCACTCAGCCAGCAGTGCGCCCAGGCTGCACCTGAAATGCATTCTCTGTATTCCTTTCTTTTGTAAGCCAAGGGGAGGAAAAAAACCACTGTTTTCTGCCTACATGTAATAAAGGGGAGAGGAAGAACCAGGGTCCCTTGTGCTTCTGTTTCGCTTTGCAGCTCGTGGCCAGGTTAGGACAGTTCTGGCTGTCCTGTGACTGCCGAGGTTCCTGTGCCAGACGATGCCTTCCACCCGATGTCTCAAAGCAGTTCCTATTGTCTGACAAGCAGCAAGTCGGTGGATTTTGTTTTTGCCTCAAGGCAATGACTGAATGGAGCACCAACCGTATCAGCACTGCCCAAACCAGCCCTCCTTCCTGCTCAGTGAACCAAGCTTTGAATTCACCAAGTCAAGCGTGTTTCCTGCAGCCAGAGGTCAGAGCTGAGCAGGCTGCTGATCTCTAGAGTGTGTTTTTGCAGGGGGGTGAAGGAAGAAAGGAGCCTCTTACTCCTGTGTTCACTCTGTGTTGGCTGTAGCATCTCTGGAAGTTTCTAAATGACACGAGTAGTGCTTGTGCTCCTCCTGTAGGAACTTAATGGGGAACAAAGCATAGAATGACTGCTGGAGGAGCAAAGTCTCCTGTAAGGCATCAGAGAGAGCTGGGGAAGACTAAACGCCCAAGCAGCTGCTGCTTCATTTAAGTGGCTTGTTTTCTTCCTTTGATGCAAAGAGGGGAATGTGATGGAGATGCTGGGTGAGAAAATGAAATACAAGAAACAAAAGCTGGATCGCCACCGAACCGCAATCTTACCGCACTCGAGTGCTGCATCCAGCAATACCTCACTTGATTCCCAGAAAAAATGGCAGCTCTGAAGTGAGGAAACGTAGCAGCTGTGCAGTGTGTAATGCAGCAGCAGGAGACTGAAATTTGTGCTTTGCTTTCCTACAGCACAAGAGCTGTCAGCCCTTCCTCCGCGAGGTGTGTGGCGGTGGAGGTGATGTTCTGGGCCCCACCACAGCTTCCCCTTGCTGACCCAGTTCTGAACATCTCTTTCGGTGCAAGGATCAGGTCCAGGTGTTTCTAAGCTCCTAAGAGGGGGGGCTTCCTCAGACCGTGGGTTTCCTGGGACGCCTTCAGGCCGTGGGACCTGAGCACGGGGTGAGCGCTCAGTGCCAACCTCGGGTGCATTAAATGCTGCAGGGCAGATCACCACTATCACTGCTCCCTTTAAGGCTAACAGAAGCATCCCACATCTTAGTCATCTCTGTGTCCAGTACAGGGAATAGGAATAAATCACTCTGGGAAGCACGCACACATGCATCCTTGCATGGCATAATGCGTCTCCAGAGAGCACACCGCTGTCATAGAACCCTTAGAGTTAGAAGGGACCTCTGAAGGCCATCTAATCCAACTGCACTGAGACACCACAGCTCCATCGGGGCCTCATCCAGCCCTGTCCCGTGGTGTCGGGGCAGTTGGATGGGATCTTTCCCTCCGGTGCAGCCCTGGGAAGAAGGAAAGGAGCAGCGTTACCGCCGCGCGCCGCCGCTTGGTGCCATCTAGCTGCTGTCCCTGGCATAGGCACGAGCCCAGTGAAACTTATTAAAGGCTTAATTAGCTGTTTAATTAAACAAATCCTCACGAAATAAACAGCGGAACGTGGAGCAGCTTCTTTCAGCTGTCACGGAGTGAGTGCACTGTTTGGTTTTGGAGTGAGCTGCTGCTCTGTGGGAACAAGAACGATGCTCTCGTTTCCATTTGATCTTGGGCAGCTGGGATCGTGCAGAGCCTGAGTCACTGGCTCAGCTTAATTAAATCGCTGCATAGCTGAGCTGATGCTCTATAGATTGGCTGCTGCTTTCTTCTGAAGTGTGTCTGGCAAAGGCAGAGGTCACAGAAATGCTACCGGTGTGGTAAGAGCGTTATGCTGAGCTGCCTGCTGGCTGTGTTACTTCAATCCGCAAGGGCTTTCGCTGCCCTTCTGTGGCTCAGCCAGTTTCCAGCACTTCTCTAAAGCAGGTCCCTGTTTACGCAGCTGCTCCAACTTGGGATGTTGTGTGATTCTACAAAACACCAACTGTGCAGCACTCGTGGCCAGGCAGCTCAGGACAGGAGGCAGCAGCTGCTTTAGGGTCGCACATCTGAGCCACGACCGCGTCTCTCTTATTCAGAGATCAAACCAACAGATTCTTGCAGGCTGCGTTTCCATCCTGATTTGCACTGAAGAGCTTTCAGTCCCACTCGAATGCTCGGTTGCTTGCTGCTTCTCTTCGTTCCCCTACAGCTTCACTGGGAGCCTCCTCCTCCCATCCCAAATCCTCCTCCTTCTGCCCCCAGGATAACAGAGCCCCAATGCTCTGAGAGCCATTCTGTGCTGCTGGAGGTGTTGTGGGATCCCACTGGGATCTCATTACACCTCCAGTTATACCAAGAGAGGCACCCAGGTCCCTTTGGGCTCAAAAGCTGCTCCCCCAGCGTGGACACCTTTCAACCAGGGGAAAAGGAGCAGAGCTTCCACCTTTCCAAACCAGCTGCAAAGGGTGCTTAAAGGCAAGAAAGGATGCTCTGAGACCAAGAAAAGGGCTGTCCTGCTCTGTGCAATCACAAAACAGCGTGGGGCAGGGGCTGTTTGTTGCCCCCAAATTGGTTTTATTTAATATAGATATCTATTTTTTTCTGTGTTTAAGTGAATGCACGGAGCACAGAAGGGGCTGAGTGGTGCAGGCTGCGTGATTCTGCCTTGGCATCCGACGTCAGCTGCTCCTCTCATTGGGCAGAGGCTCCAGGTGGGGGATACGAAGGTCTGGGGGGGCTCAAAGGAGCCTGGAAGGATCTCTTAAGAAATCACAGCCAATCTAAGAGATAATTGTGAGCAACGGGAGCTCCGGGCAGTGCCAACCATGCGCTGCATAGAGCAAGCCAAGCTGCCACGGCATGGATCTCCTCTGCTCCTACAGGTGGAACCAGGGCCACGGTGAGCGCCTGCGGGGCTGCCTGGCTCGAAACTCAGGCTGCGGGATTTCCCCGAGGAAAAGATGTCCAAAAAGCCCCAGCGAGAGGAAACGCGCGCGACGTGGGAAATCACCGCGATTCGTGGGGTGTCGCGGCAAATCGCCGCCGTTCGTTTGGATCCTATCGCAAATCGCTGCGATTCGCTTATGGGGGGGGGGGGGGGGGGGGGGGGGGGGGGGGGGGGAAGGAAAGAAAGAAGAGTCGAATTGGCGCAAAGGACCCCCGGGCGGTGCAACCCCTCCCCCCGCCCACGTGCACGGCTGCGCGTCCCCGCGGTTTCCGCACACGTGGCCGCCGCTTCCTGCGGGGCGAAGGGGAGGACGGGGGGGGGGGGGTCGGGGGGAAGAGGGGGGGCGGTGCCCGTCGGAAGGGGCCGGGACGGGAGCGGGCGCTGCGGAGGGGGCGGCTGTGGGGAGAGATCGGAGGGGCCGGAGGTATTTGGGGGGGTGACGGGTTATAGGGGCGCGCATAACCTCGCCTCACCCCATAGGGGTGACGGGCTGCAGCCGCAGGCTTGGGTGCGCAGAGCGCTGGGGAGCGGAGCGGGGTGCAGCGGCTTGCACGTGGCGTGGAGCTGCAGCGGGGTTTGCAGAGGCCTCAGGTGCACGGGGTTGGGCTTTGCAGGGGCGCAGGTTTGCAGGGGATGCGTGCGGCCGTCCTCAATGTCCCCGTCCCTCCCCAGGCCCCCCCCTCCACCCGGTGCCACCCTGGCTCTGCGCCCTATGGACGGCGTTTTTCTCTCTCCCAACGAAGATGAGTTCGTGGGGAGGATCGCGGAGGAGCTGGAGCAATTCATGCTGCAGGGGCAGCACCACAGGTAGGGGCACCAAAATGTCAGGACTCTGCTCTGCATCGGCCCTATGGGGTTTGCATGGCACTGCTGGGAGCCTTGGCAGCTTTTCCAGCCCGGCTGTGGAATTGGGCGCCGTGCTGCCATGCTCCCATCCTCCCTGGCCGTGCGTTTGCTGCGTTGTTTTGCTTTGTCCAGACTTTGAGTTGGATCTCTTTCCTGATCTCTGACAGCCCTGCGATGGCCCAAAATAGGGGGTGGGGGTTCAGCTGGGATGGGATTGCTTTGGTCAGAGATCCCATCAGCTGACAGTGACCTTCAGCATTTGTTTGATTGCTTCTTTTGAACGTTTGCCAGAGGTGGCACCGAGGCAGCTGTGGAATGGAATAAACCATAACAGAAAACCCATCCGAGTGCCATGCATCCAGCACAGGGTTGATTCAACCATTCATGTTTTAACTGCTGGCTGCTGCAGTGCATTCAGACTGGAAGAAGAAGTTACAGCTTCTTGGGATGAGGGCAGAAATGAGAGTCCTGGCTGTGGGCAGGACGCATGTGCATGGAGAAGACCTTTGGGCTCCTTAAGACCAGAAAGGCTTTAAGGCACAGATCTAAAGCCCTACACCTGGAGTGACTTGGGGATTAAGAGCCGATAAAGACTTTCTCCTTTTCCATCCTCTGCCTTCGCAGGGTGCTCCTGTTCCCCCCTCTGTCCAGCCGCCTCCGCTACTTGATCCACAGGACTGTGGAGAACGTGGATTTGCTGAGCAGCTTTTCTGTTGGGGAAGGATGGAGGAGGAGGACGGTCATCTGCCACTCAGCCGTGAGGTTTGTGATGCTCTGTGGGGCTCTGGGGTTGTTGTTCCACCTTGGAAGCACGGCCTCTGTTATTCATAGCATTAAGGGAGCAGGGAGCATGGAATGGCTGAGATTGGAAGGGACCTCAAGGATCACGAAGCTCCAACCCCACTGTAGGCAGGGCCACCAACCTCCACATTTCATAGCATCCCAGGCCGCACAGGGCCCCGTCCAACCTGGCCTTGAACACCTCCAGGGATGGACGGGGCATCACAGCCTCTCTGGGCAGCTGTTCCAGCACCTCACCGCTCTCATAGTAAAGAACTTGTTAGAATTAAGAATAGCAATACTTACAGCCCTGAGGAGCTCTAGAAATGATGGGACGCAGCATCACTAATGATGGAAAAAAATAATTTCTGCGTAACCTTATATTTTGTGTAAGGACAGAGATGAGCTGAGGGAATAATTGTGTCCTTTGGTTGGGTAAGTTGCCACGTGGGGCTTTTCTACTCCTTATTCTGAATGGGGAAGGTTGGAATGTTAA